TTTCTCTGAGATTACGTACCGTAATTGTTCAGCTTCTACTTACTGATTTAAAGATTTTCATTAAGTGAATTAAGGTCCAATATCATTAGAATTGGGGAAAAAGTGAGTATTGGGACTGAATTTAAAGTTATGAATGCAGGATTAACTTAAGAGTGATGCGATTTAGTAAAAGCATTTCTTTACTAAACTCACATCGTGTCAGTGTTGAGATCTGCAGTTCAGTACGTAATGTTTAAATGACCATGCTAGATCATTTCTGTTTTGTATCCTAGGAAGTACAAAAGGGCTTTGAGGAGAAGAACATCCAGTTGCTGCAGGAAGCTATGAGCAAACTGGGCCTGGAGGTGAGTGTGTTGGACGTAAACCTTAAAATAAAAGTACCATAAAGACGGCCGAAATTGTCTTTGATTGGGACAAAATACATGTGATTTATTCATTCTGTTTTTCCATCTACAGGAAGGAAAATACCACCTTAGGAGATGTATCGACTCTGGACTGTGGGTCCCTCAATCAGGGGATAGTGACGAAGATGGAGAGGAAGAGGACGAAGAAGATGATTCATAAAAGAAGAAAAAACATACCTTGTTTGTGTACATTAGATGTTGACAAGTCCAACCATCGTGTGTTTAAATCAACAATAGAGCTCAGACAAAAGCCTTTACTTGTTTTCTTCAAAACTTGCAACCAAGTTAACAAAATAAGCTTCTACGTAAGGCAAGCTTTAATCAGATTTTACACTGCAGAAACTTGACTCTGAATAAATGTCATTAGAATCAGCTTATTTTACATTTGATTTAATTTGATATAGCACTCCAAAACATAGTTACCAAACACTTTAATAGACAAAAGGGCAGATAACACAATGTATAACTCTTTAAAAGTTATTAAAAAAAATTAAGCAAAGGGCATACACATGAGTGGAACTACCAATAGCAAAATACTTTAAAAAGTCATCCACAAAAAATGACACTTTTGCTTTTAAATTAAACCTAGCATGTCATAGCAGGCTCATATTTCTATCTGCCTGTATCTGTTGTCAAACTGAGGTCAACAGCACCATCTCATGTCTGCTTATGGACAGACATCCCATAAACTACATCACAATCATGTCAGTCAAACAGTTGCTTTTAGTGTAGCAATGTTTGGGATGCAAAATAGAAAGAAACCAGAACATGTTTGAAAAGTTTCAGCTAGAAAGTGGTTATTATTTCTGCATGAAAAAAGAGAAATTATTGTTTTAATATCATTGTAGTTGCAGATTAATCTTCTGTCAATCGTCTAATAAACTAGTATAAGAATTGTCTCAAATCTCCAAGTAAAATAGTTTGAATGTATTTTAAAGTCGTTGCTTTCTGATGTGAGATCGTTGTAATTGTTTGTATTTGTGAACGTTTTTATTTAGTATTTCTGCAGTTGTGAGACAGTTTAATTTGTGTTGTAGATGCGTAGAATAAACCAACTTTTATTCTTCACAAACTGTGTTTATTTATTAAATGTTCCACTAGTTCCTCTGAGTTTCCATTCATTTCTCTCTCTCTTTCTCACACTTGCATAATTCATTCCTGTGTCTCTCTCTTTCTCTCTCTCTCTCTCTCTCTCTCTCTCTCTCTCTCTCTCTCTCTCTCTCTCTCTCTCCTGCATAATTAATTGCTGGGTTTGATTTAGTGGTCTGTGCTCGTTTTCTTTCTGGCAAAGCTTCTTTGTGCTGTCATTTTGTAAATAGAAAACAATCAGTGCAGGCATGGGGCATAAATCAAATCTAGATTATGCCTATACAGTAAAGCTTTCTGGAGAGAAACAGGATAGAATCACAGCTTTATGCAAACAAATGATCAGGTGTGTGTTTACCTGTATGTTCATGTGCATATGGTTGTCAACATCAGGCCCTGACTTGATTTATGAATGTTATACTAATTCTGTGAAGGAAAAGTCAGCTCCGGTTTAGTTCCTCAATGTTAACTCGGAGACTGTTATACGGCCATTTTGTGAACCATCACAGTATATGTCGTCTGTCAATCGACTAAAAAGTAATCTGCAACTATTTTGATAAATGATTTTGTTGTTCCAAGTCTGTTTTTTTTAGACCTTTTCAAGCAACAATCTCACATCTTCTCTTGTTTTTAACTTATCAAATGTGACAAGTCTCTGCATTTGCTTGTCTTGCATTATAGTAAACTGAATAGCGTTGGGTTTTGGACTTGGACTCAGTTATAACTTAAAACAAAGAGTTCCAAAATGGCATCCTGGTCACTGGGTCACAGTATTTTCTTACACATAATTAGCATATTTTTCAAGTAACTCCTTTTTTGGCACATAATCAGCTGATTGGTTGATAATACAAATGATGACTAGCTTAAGCCTTGCTATCTTATTTCTATCAATGGAGCAGATTCACAAAGAGCAGCTCTTTGCTTTCCAGCGTCGTGAAGCTCAGTACATATTTATCAAACATATTGAGGATGAAACAAAACAGAAAAGCACGATTCCTATTTTATGATTTGTAATGAATAAATGATATTTTGTGAACCCTCACAGTGTATGTCTTCTGTCAATGGACTCAGAGGTTATCTGCAGCTATTTTGATAAATTATTTATTATTTCAAGACCGTTTTTAGACAATCTCATACAGTATCTTCTATTGTTTTAACTTATCAAATTATTTAATTTCAACCTCACTATCTTATTTCTATCAATGGAGCAGATTCATAAAGAGCAGCTTGTTGCTCTTTGCTTTCCATCCACACATTTATTGTAAATCATTCAAGATGAAACAAAACGTATAATGGATACAGGAACTGCTTGTCATTGAATGGCTGTAAAAGGACATGCTTGGGAAGAAGCAGCGTGAGTAACAGGCTGCATGAGTCCTTTACTGTGATTTTCTTTTTATCAATATGACCAGCGTGTGCCAATGAAATCCTGCTGAGTGCATGGGTGTGTATAATGGAGAGGACTGACGCCTGACTATTGAAGCAGGAGAATCGGCGTGTGGCTGCTAGTGAGGGGAAATGCCACACAAAAAAAGGCAGGGGTACCGATGGAGAGAGGAGGAGGAGGCTGTGTGGGATTAATGGACACACTGTGCAGGGGGAGAGAGGGGAGGGGGGAGGGGGGAGATGGGCTTCTCCACGGCTGGGGGAGACCACTGTGGCAGGGGAGAGGGAGAGGAGAGGCAGGGAGGGAGGGAGGGAGGGAGGCTGGTGAAGCCGCGGATATTCATGAAGACGCCGAGTGTTTTCTCTCTCTCTCTCTCGCCGTGGTGACACACTGCTCGTCTGCAGAGGGGAGACAGAAGGGGAAGGAGACGGGAGAGAAAGCGAGACGAGGCCCAGCCCATCTTGCCATTGATCTTCAGGCGATCAAGGTGAGTGTGTTTTTATATTCTAACATGCTGCGGCCTCTCTCTGTGTGTGTGTGTCTGTGTGTGTGTGTGTGTGTGTGTGTGTGTGTGTGTGTGTGTGTGTGTGTGTGTGTGTGTGTGTGTGTGTGTGTGTGTGTGTGTGTGTGTGTGTGTGTGTACATGTGTGTCTGACACATATCTCTTGCAGTGTGTGTGCAGACAGGCGTGATGGCAGGGCTGTCCTCATGAATGCATGGCTTCAGTGTGTGTGTGTTTTTTAATATTTTATTTTTTTGGGGGGTGTTTTTGTAACAGAAGAGCAGTGCTGGTAGTTGAGCTGCATATTGATGCATTGCTGCTTCTTGGTTTTATAAGCATCTGTAGTGGCAGCCATGGTGTGTGAGTCAGTGTGTGTGCTCACATTTCTCATTGTCTGTGCGTATATATGTCACTGTGTCACCATGCATTTGTTGATTTCTCATCACAGACGGTTTCTTCTTTTTTCTTTTTCTTTTCTCGGCTCCACGCTGTGAATGTGTGCAGACTCTGGGGTGAGAAAGCTCTCGTTGAGTGGGTGTGTTTTTCATGACCCCTGGTAAAAGTCGTCTCCACCACTTACTGTCTGTGTTGCAGCTCAATCAGAAACACTCTCATATGCTGAATCTGTCCTATGCATTGGAATTAGGTCATCTCGGACTGCTCGAAGTAATTATATAACATCACAGAGCTGTACTGTTGCAGTGTCTGCTCAGAATTAGCCACTGGAGGTACAGCTCCTGCAGTGCAACAATAGCCAACATATTTTGTTAGAGGGCAGCCCCCTTTATTAGTCGACCAATCGTTTAATTCGATATTATTGAAGTATTTCATTAATGTTTTTCATGCCTTGTATTGTGGAAAACAATTGTTCCCATAAGGATTTTCTCACATTGGATGATGCATCAGATGAATGTATTAGATGAGAGCAGGACAGAGAGTTCTGAGAGGAGACATATGACTCAAACAGAGACTTCTCTTTCTCATCATTTCTGTTTTCCCACAGGGGAATCTACCCCCAAGAGGACACACTGACACAGATTCCAGGATGGATCCGGGCATATCGAACCTGGAATTCTGACATCTGGACTTCATATTTACCACTTCTTCCCATGCAGAATTCCGATGCCGACTGACCAATCAGACGGCGGGAAGCTGATCTGAGACTCGCTGCAAATCCTCCCACAGGCTGGATCTGGATTATTGAGTGTTGCATTCATGTGGGATCAGGTTTACCACTGGGGAATGTCATCGGAACAATACTGCAAGTTGGATAAACATTTTAGGAAAAGGTTTTCCTTGATGGTGGCATCATGAACTCTGACCGGGAAATCCCATCGGCTCGTCTGGCCAGAGCAAGACGACATGCAGGCGGACTTATTTTTTCACAGAAACTCGTAGCTTGCACAACAATGGAGTGAGGATATTCATTTATTTTGTATTTTTCTTCCTCTTTTGGCTTGTTTGGAAAATATAAACACAGACACACAAAGGTCCCCCACCTCAGACTGACCCTGGAGCCTCTGAGGGGCCTTAAATGCACCTTTAGCATTTAGCGGCGCCAGGTTTCAGCCCCCTGAGGACGGAGGACGGTTGGCTGGCTGAGTCAGCTCCGATGGGGGCCGGTTGTGACCCGGTCTGACCCCGGTTTGACCTTGCAGTGACCTTTGACCTCTCCGGTCCTGGCTCTCCACCTGCTCTGCTGCCTGGGTTCAGGAACGCTCCGTCCTGGGGCCCAGAACGAGCCAATCAGGATGAAGAAGAGCCGCAGCGTGCTGTCTGTGACTGGAGAAGAGGTGAGAACATAAACAACCAGGGATTAACTCAATATTACATTTTCATGTGACCATAACTTTGAGTATCTGACAATACTAATGCTCTGCACTTGCTTCCTTCTCTTGAACAACTAAGCAGTTGATAAATGGTATGGATGCCCTAAGCAAATATTCTTCTCTGCACTTTTAAAGGGGTTACATTCTGCTCATTCTCAGGTTCATATCAGTATGTAGTGTCTCTACTGTGACATGTCTCCAGGCTGTAATGTTCAAAAATCTCTTTATTTTTCTCATACTGCCTGTGCTGCAGCACCTCTTTTCTGTCTGAAACCAGAGCCCAGTCTGCTCTGATTGGTTAGCTGGCCGGCTCTGTTGTGATTGGTCAACCGCTTAGAGATTTCCCGCCCCTTAGCCTATCACATACAATGTGTTTGAGTGCTAGCCTATAGAAGCACAAACGTTACCTAGTGATGTCACTATGTCGCAGAAGTAAACAAAGAAGTCCAATGGAGGAGTTTCAGGGAGTGTTGGGTGAGACATTTCCTCTGAAATTGTCTGCAAAGGCTAAAATCCTTTGCATTTACATGCACAAAAAACACACTACAGGAAAGGGAAAACCAGAAAAATAGGGCCTCTTTAATATTTTTACACACAGAAGTTTTTATTTATCAGCACCATATTAAATTATACTATTTTCTTATCTCTGAAACACAATCCAGTGATTTTGGCAAATATCGGAAACTATTTGATTGACACATCCCTCATATACTTCAGGAAATAACTAACTGTATCACCTGTTTCCATGGGAGTCTGTACAAAGCAGAGCAGACTGTGTGTGTGTGTGTGTGTGTGTGTGTGTGTGTGTGTGTGTGTGTGTGTGTGTGTGTGTGTGTGTGTGTGTGTGTGTGTGTGTGTGTGTGTGTGTGTGTGTGTGTGTGTGTGTGTGTGTGTGTGTGTGTGTGTGTGTGTGTGTGTGTGTGTTTTGGAATGCTCACCATGACACACAAACCTCGTGACTTTCACACATCCAAGCCTCCCTTTGTTCTTGTTGTCAAGGTCTGTGTCCGCTCTCAGGAGTCCGAGTGGACGGTTTGTCCTCTTCACTCGCTCACACCGTGTGAAGCACTCACTGTCTCATAGTCCGGTATGGAAATGAGCGCCGGCTAAATGAGGGCTCTATGTAAATGTGCAATGTTCTGTTAAAGGTAACGTCTGGCTGAAGGACATAATAGGATGCATTATTCCCTCCCTCTTTTATTGATTACGCTGAGGAGCAGGTGTCCATACATTTCCGTTTGTGTGTGTGTGTGTGTTTGTCTGTGTGTGTGTGTCTGTGTGTGTGTGTGTGAGCATCTTTCCACATCTGGGTCTGGACGACATCAAACGCAGCATGGAAGCAACACGGTACTGTTGCCTAGCAACTGCTACCATTCCCCCTTGTGTTTTGTTGCTACGGTACTGCAGTGCAGATCAGCCTCGAAGAGCTCCGTCTGTGGAGGCCTCATCCCAGACACACACACACACACACACACACACACACACACACACACACACACACACACACACACACACACACACACACACACACACACACACACACACACACACACACACAAAACACGCACATAAATGATTTATAGTCTGTGTTTTTTTCTTCTATTTTCTCCTCTGAAATATATATAAATCCCTTATTTACCCTGGAAGAGATCTCACTGAAATTAAAATCTCCTTTTCAAGAGTATGCAAATACAACTGTCACACACTACATATAGGGTTGTGGCGATATACCGGTGAAGACTGACAGTAACTTTGATATTTACGCACAATAAACAGGTCAGTCCAAGATACATTTTACACAGCATTATTATTGTTATTAAAACAATGTTGAGATATTGGGATAATATCATTAGCATGACTTATTTTGGATGATAATAATCTTGTTGTCAATTTTGTTTACAGTTATTAAAACATAAAAAACAGCTATAATGCAATAAAAAGGCACAATATGTTTAATCTTCCGGTAAAAAAAACCTAAGAACAATCCAAGAACCAAGACTGCTGTTTTTCTCAATCTTTTGAAATTGACTTAAATTAGAAATCAGCTCTGCTAATTTAAGGTCCTTCTGTATGAAAATACTGAAAAGCTTTTTTGCAAACTTTTTCCTTGGCCCTAGGGAAAACATCTGTACAATATTGTGAGAGCACAGGCCATTTTGATAAGAAGCAGCACTAAGAGAGATGTTCATATGAGGGCCAACCAATGCGAAACATATAGACATGACCATTTAACAGCAGTGTAAGGACGACAGTGGTGTGCAACATTTTCACAGCCAGTAAAACAATCATAAAGCAAAATAATAAATCAACAATATGACAACTGCATGGACACAATTATGATATGTTCTTTGCTGACTCAACACAGACACATTTTTCACATCACCCTCTCTCCCCTCTCTCTCTCAGGGTAAGGACACAGATATAATTGGTGCTGAGGAGAAGGCGGAGTCATCTCGCTACAGCCGATCTTATACGTCCGGGGCCACTCTGGGGGCGGAGCTACGCAGAGGGAGGAGCAGAAGACTTTCCTCCAGTCTCCAGGTATTGAACGCATGTAAACATACTGCTCATGAACATGAATGTGGCTGCCTGGAATGACAGGTAAATTACAAAAATATCCCCAATACTCCATTGCATACAATTAGACACAATTGTACAGGTTTATTTGAGTTTTGTTAAAGGTAGTGGATGATTTGTAGTTACGAAGCTAAACCACATTTACACATTTGCAATTGATTCAATTACACCAGTAAATCTGGGTTTTTTGTCTGTACCAGTTTCCCTAGTATTGAATGGAAGAGTTATTGTATACTTAGACAAGCAACTGGTGGCACATGTCAATTTACATACCTAATTACTACTTTGCTGGAAGGATACAACACAACCCCAAATACAGGTTCCACTGTCTCTGCTGGATGTCCAACTGTGAGCTAATATGTTTGCATTAACTAAAAACATTGATATTTGGTCAGTGAAGGGTTAACAGCTTGTTTCTGCTGACACCTACAGTACATGGCCCAACAAAATGCACTTCAATGAATGAAACCCCCAAGGTTTCCTGGAAAAATACCTACAGATACAAATCAAATATTCCATTGCATACATCATACATTCAAAACAAACTTGTAAAGGTTGATTTATGAGTTGTATTGGAAGCTTTTGAATGTTTTATAGACACAAAGCTCATTGATAAACAAACTTGCATCAATTTGATCAAAACCCAACACTGAATATGGGTCTTCTCTGAACCATCTTTCCCAGTTTATTTTTTGTATTCTTTTTTTATTCAGCTTTTCACATGTATACAATCATAGACAATACAATATTCTCTGTAAGCCTTCTGTAGATTACAATTAAGTCACAAATCAAACATACATATTTGTGGATAATACGGAGGCAGGCCTCACTGACCTTCAAACACGCTATAACATACAGTACGAACATAAACACCAACAGGGTTATGGGGGTGTATCTGCAACCTATTCAAACAAGGAGGCCAAAGACATTACAAAAAAACATCATTCTAGACAAATGATGGTCGTATTGGTGTAACATATTATCAATTTTTCCCATCTCGACCAGTCTCAAAGCAAGGGTTATCCTTTCCATCTTAAAAATATCATAAACAATGTCAATCCACTCATCCAAAGTAGGTTAGTTTTCCCAGTTTTAAGTGGAAGAGAGTGAAAATAATGTGCTGTACCCACTGGAAAAGCAACTGCTGGCAGGTATAACATATATCCAATCTATCTGAACACTTTATTTCTACAAACCCTTCCTTTCACTCTTCAGGTACCGTGCTGGCTCCGCCCCCGAGACCGCACCCGCTCCCCCGAGGTCCTGAGCAACGTGTCCCGTCCGACAACTCTGCCTCTCCGCATCCCGCCTCGCATCTCCATCACACAGGCAGACGCTGACGGGTACACACACGCACGCACGCACACACACACACACACACACACACACACACACACACACACACACACACACACACACACACCACACACACCTCTAGACTTCAAAGTCAATCAAAGTTCATTTATATAGCCCAAAATCAAACATTTTACATTTGTCTCGGGCGGTTTTACAGTTTATACAGAATACGACACCCTCTGTCCTCTGACCCCCACATCGGACGAGTTAAAACACTTCCACCCTACAGGAAGCTTTTCTAAATTATCCTTTGTATCCAGAGGTGGGAAGTAGTGGAATACAAATAAATACTTTGTTACTGTACTTAAGTACATTTTTCTGGTATCAGTACTTTACTCCACAACTTATTTTTCTGACGACTTTTTACTTTGACTTCTTACATTTTGAACCCCAAATACCTGTACTTTCTACTTCTTACATTTTGAACCCAAATACCTGTACTTTCTACTTCTTACATTTTGAACCCAAATACCTGTACTTTCTACTTCTTACATTTTGAACACAAATACCTGTACTTTCTACTTCTTACATTTTGAACCCAAATACCTGAACTTTCTACTTCTTACATTTTCCAAACAGGCTGGTTCCTTTAGTTTGAATGTGTGTTTGGTGGCGTGATCATTATTATTTAGAGTCATTGCGTGCCTATTGATTTGAACACGATCCGTGTATCCATCATTTCCTGGTCTTCTCTAAAGAAGAGGGACCAATGAAAACGTTGTCATGTTGCCGTTGTTCAGCATGGAAACATTCATTAGCTAACAATGACATTATTGTTCTATTAATATAAAGGGAGGTCAGGTACTCTTTAAAACAGCTGCTAGTTATGGGTACTTTTTACTTAAGTGCATTTCAAAGCCCATACTTCTTTACTTTTACTTGAGTAAAGAAGTTGAGTCAGTACTTCTACTTTTACCAGAGTATTTTTAAACACGAGTATCTGTACTTCTACTTGAGTAAATGATGCTTTTGCCATCTCTGCTTGCATCCTAACTAATCATCAAATGCCCCTCCTCTCCTCGTGCTGCAGCTATGAAGCAGAAAATGGCGTGTCTCCGGCTCTCACCCCGCTGGGCTCTCAGAGTCCCGGCATCACGCTGCACACCCCCTTCCCCCCCGGCCAGAGGCGAGAGTCCTTCCTCTACCGCTCCGACTCCGACTACGACATGTCGCCCAAGACGGTCTCTCGTAACTCCCTCGCCAGTGAAGGGTGAGGCTCCTCCAGAGACAATATGAATGAGTGAGACATGATGTGTGTGTACTCACAGTTTCAAAATATTATAATGATTTGTTCTCTCTCTTTCAGGCACACCGGAGAGGACTTCATCGTCACACCTTTTGCACAAGTGAGTCTCATTTCATATTTATAAATAGTTGTGTAAAATGTTTTTTTTAAATAGCTTTAATAATATTTCTATATTTGCTCCTTTCTTACAACTTAATTCCTCTTATTGTGTTTATGAATGCACCATTATACACCAAAGACAACTCCTTGTATTTGTACACCTTCTTGGCAACAAACCTGAATCTTTTTCTGATCTGATACACAATAATGACTTGTAGGAAAATAGAGAAATACGAATGTTTAGGAATTGAAACCAGTGTGTGCATTCTAATTGGAAGTGAATACACTTTCATGTAAAGTCCTCTTATATTATCTGTTCTGCTTTGTGATTATTTAGGTGTTGGCCAGTCTGCGATCAGTACGGAGCAACTTCACCATTCTTGCCAACGTCTCACCAGTCAAGTCAGTACCAACTCATTCTCCTGAAATGAATTCATGCTCATTGTGCTAGTATGTTTGCATTTGTGGTTACACATCGAAGAGATTGCTTACAACAACAATCTGCAGGATATGAAACATGAAGCTCCCTGTTATTATAAACATGCATCCCATGTCACACTCATACTCACATTTTGTGACTGCAGTAACATTTTAAGGTAACTTGCTCAATCTGGTCCAGCTTTCACACAGTACTTTAGCCGTGGTTTCTAACTCTGTGTGCACGTGACCACCAAACCAAAAGCAATGGGTCGTTCAAATTGTACAGATTATTATCTTCCCAATTCATGCTTTGATACACGTCATATTGAATGAAGAAAAACAAACCAAGACATTTCAGATAGTTTCACACCTTTCTTGGTTAATGTGTAGGATTTTCTTAAATACAATAGTTAAATAGTTGCAGTAGTTTTTTGTATCAGCACATTAAGTATGCACCATATTGCACAATTGTATTCATCCTATGATCCTTAAATGGTACGCAGCGTCCCGTCACTTTACACATTATTGGATACACACAGTATGTTTGTTAATCACAAAACTAAAAACAATCTTTAAGCTTAAAGCTAAATATGGAATTTGTATTGATAACTATGTTTTTGTTTTGTTTGTTTGTTTTGTTGTTTTAATAACAAATGTATTTTGGATGGTGGATGTAAAAAAAAAAGTCTTTTATATTTGTCTTGTAAAATATGACATACAACGTAAAAGAATAATGTTTATATATTGGAGTAATAATTATATAATCTATTTATAATTTTAAATGTATATTGTACTGTATGTAGACATACATTTAGAAAAATAATATATGTTAATCATTTAGTTTTTGGGAGAAGAGGTGGGATTAAATAAGTGTACGCTTCTTGCCACCCCTTTTTGAATGTGTAATTAGGTAGATCATTTGTTGATATATAATTTTTTAAGTCAATAATATTGTTGTTTATCAATTGATACTGCGTGCTAAAGTTTGTACAGTATCATATTCTCATGTTTCATTTCATTATTATTATAATTTTTTTGTATTATTGTTTTACACGTTCGAAATAAATCGAATCAAATCAAAATCTAAAATAAACACAGTCTCAATAGATGCTTTAACGTGTTGTGTCCCCAGGCGGTCTCCGGTGGGGGGGCCATGTCTCAGCCCCCGCGCGGCGCTCTCGGAGCAGCAGTACCAGCAGCTGGCTCTGGACACTCTGGAGGAGCTGGACTGGTGTCTGGACCAGCTGGAGACCATCCAGACGCACCGCTCCGTCAGCGAGATGGCCTCCAACAAGGTGAGACAAACATCTAACAACCAAGCTGTGCATCAAACCCATCAACAGGGTGAAAGATAAATCACTATCAGCGTACAGTACATGTTGCAAGGGGAAATTGGGGTGATTTTGTTATGATGATTTGTGATCTGATACACATAAATGACTTGTTGGGGAATAGATAAATGAATGTTGTTTATTTAGGAATTGAAACCAGTGTGTGCATTTTTACATATTTACAATGATTTACTCTTTTGTGTTTATTCGTACCTTCATTCAATAGTAACCTTAATTGTTCAAATATCCTGCGACTCTGTTGCTGTAATGATACGTTAACCCTGAGATAACCCTTTTCTAACCCAAAGAGCTGTATTGAATATAGCTGTTAGTAAGAAAGTGAGAGTAGCAGTGAAACAATGGACTTACTTCCCCCATCAGCAGCTATAAGCCCATTAAACTCTGCAATTACACACTATTTTTAACCTGGGCAATTATTGAACTCTGCAATATGTACTTGCTTAGATTATAATAACCTGAGCAATTATCCAACTGTGCAATATTCTGCATATATCATCCGACTGTGCAATACCAATATCACTCTAGGATTAATTATACACTCAATAATCTGTTCCTCAGAATTAATATCATTATCATTTAAATGTATATTGTTATTTATTTTTTACAAATGTATTGTAATATATTATATGCACATTTTTACCTTCAATTCTTATTATTATATTTATTTAATTGTTTTCATTGAAATTTACTTTTTTAAAATTATTTAAAAATGGAGCAACTGTTACGAAATCCAATCTCCCCCCCAGGGAATAAATAACGTTTTTTTTGTTGTTTTTCTAAATCTAATTCGGATTTGCTTTGTGTTTTTATTATAATACTTAATTTTTGTATTCAATTTTATCCTAAATTGGAGCGAAATACAATTCCCCTCCTCAGGTATGTAAGGTGTTTCTGCCCCTGTTGCTCCACAGTTTAAGAGGATGCTGAACAGAGAGCTGTCCCACCTGTCAGAGATGAGTCGCTCCGGCAACCAGGTGTCAGAATACATCTCCAGCACCTTCATGGGTGAGCAGGACCTCCATCTGATCACATGTAACACATTTTCCAAATATAAACTCTAACTGTGTTCTAAGCAGCACCAGAAACGCTGCTATGGACAGTCTTCCACTAATGTACATTCTCAAAGATACTGTTATGTTTGTATATATTAATTGTTGTGCTTTTGTTTAGGTCTTAATGTGTGCATATGTATAAATGTGTCTTTTGATTGTGTATATACAGTATAGGTATATACATATTTGCATATGTATTTTTATATATTTTTGTATTTGGGATTGTGGGAAACGGTATTTTTCGATCTCTCTGTCTGTACACACAAACTGAAAGTTGACTTTGACTTTGTGTTTCCCCGTCTCTGCAGACAAGCAGAACGAGGCGGAGATCCCGTCTCCCACCCTGAAAGATAAATCCATGAGTCACATCACGGGCGTGAGGAAACTCTGCCACAGCTCCAGCCTCTCCAGCTCCTCCATGCCTCGCTTCGGCGTCAACACAGACCACGAGGACGAGCTCGCCAAGGTCTGTCTCCTTCTCTCTGTCTCCTTCTCTCTGTCTCCTTCTCTCT